CACCCCAGCATCTCAGAAGAGGAGCGGAAATACATCGAGGATGCCATCGGAGAGAGTGCCAAGCTCATGAACCCCGTCACGGTGCGGCGCGGCTGTGGGACCGGGCAGGGAGGACCCGAGTGTGCTGGCTCAAAGCTGTGCAGCGACTCAGAGGGGACAGGACTGCCAAGCAAATGGGGCTAGATGGGGTGTGGCGACACAGGCAGCTACTTCAGGGGCTGAGGCAGGAGGATTGCAAGTTCGAGGTCAGGCTATAAAGTGAGTTCAAGGCCAGGCTGGGAAGTTTAGTGAAGCTTTATTTCAAAAGTGAAAAGTGAAAAGTATAGCTCAATGGTAGATCACTTGCCTAGAATACCCCAGTGAGGGACTGGGGCATGGCTCAATGATAGAGTGCTTGCCTAGCATGCATGAGGTCATGGGTTCTATTCCCGTTACTGAAAAAAAAGAAAGAAAGAAAGAAAGAAGGAAAAAAGGAAAAGAAAAGAAACTAGCTGGGCTAGATTCCATATTAGGCTGGATGGAGCTCGAGAATGTCAGGTACTGGACCTAGAGTTAGGTACAAGGTGGGCTGAGTTACAGCCACGGATGAGGCCTGGTTAAAAGCAGCAGAGGGGGATTAGAACCTGAGATTTTGCTAGATATTGCTGTGCGTACGGCTGAACTTTGTAGCGTGATTGAATAGACATTTTCCTGGGCTCACATTCATGGGTTATCATGGGGTTTAAGATCTGGAACTCAAGGAACCTCTGGGGAGTCGGGCCCCATCTTTCGTCCTTGTGGTGCAACCTTAAAGCTGGAGTTTTAGAATTCCTAAGTCCCCAGGAGTGAAGATGTGGCCCGTGCTAGAGGCTTCAGTGAGCCAGGGGGGGGGTCCCTGAAGGGACATGAAGTTCCCAAGCCCTAGTGTCTGCCTTAGCATGGTCTGCCCCCCCCCCCAGAAATTCAACACACCCTGGAGGCGCTTCTTCACGTCCATGCCGGTCTACGCCATCATCGTGGCCAACTTTTGCCGCAGCTGGACCTTCTACCTGCTCCTCATCTCCCAGCCCGCCTACTTTGAAGAAGTGTTCGGCTTTGAGATCAGCAAGGTTAGGGTGCAGGAGTCGGGGCTCGGTGGGGGGGAGGGAGAGCGTGCCTGCGTCCCTGGGCGGGACCGAGGAGGAGGCGGCGCCTGTGCACCTGTTCCCACAGGTGGGCCTGGTGTCGGCGCTGCCGCACCTGGTCATGACCATCATCGTGCCCATCGGAGGCCAGATCGCCGACTTCCTGCGCAGTCGCCGGATAATGTCCACCACCAATGTGCGAAAGCTGATGAACTGCGGCGGTGCGTGGGTGGAGCGCGCGCGTGGAGCAGAGCGCATGGAGCAGAGCGCAAAGGGGAGGGTCGGATGGGCAGGGTAGAGGTGGGGGTCACAGGGCGTGGCTGACCCGACCCCATCTGAGGGAGTAAGGGCCGTGTGCAACACTTCCGGGGAGCCAGGTTTGGAGACCACCATGTGGGAAGGGTAGGCAGATGAGCGGTGTAGAGATGACACCGAGGTGAAGCCAGACTTAAACTAGTCGGGGGTGGGGTGGGGTGCTGGGACTGGGGGAGCTGAGTCCTGTATAACCCTAAAACCTAAAGTCCTATAACTCTAAAATGGCCACAACTGGGGTTTTAGGGAGATAGGTCATGGGTGGAGACTTGGGAACACCAGACTGTGAGTGGGGGACCTAGCAAGATGGTTGAGAATGGGGACCAGGGGAGATGGGGACCTGAGTGGGGTCCTTATGTGATAGGGACACAGAGTGAGTTCTGAGGGTTCAGAGATGGGGTGCTGGGTCTTGCGGAGTGTGGCTCAGTCAGAAGGTGGGACACAGTGGGCCCCTGTAAGGCAGAGCCGCCAAAAGATATGGCTTGGGGTGGGTCTTGGGGAAGCAGGACCCTCTGTGGTTTGGTGAAACTGGTCAGGTGTTCTGCAGGTCAGAGTGGCCAGCTGGGGTCCATAGAAGGGGGCTGGGGTGAGGTCAAGGCTGGGCATGTGGGCAGGGTGGCCAGTAGGGTCACAATGGGCACTTGGGAGACATGGCCCTCCGCAGGCTTCGGGATGGAAGCCACGCTGCTGCTGGTGGTCGGATATTCACACTCCAAGGGTGTGGCCATCTCCTTCCTTGTCCTGGCTGTGGGCTTCAGCGGCTTTGCCATCTCTGGTGAGAACCCCAGATGGGTAGCTGGGGGTATTGGAGTCAGCTCGGGCCCTGAAATGGGCTTCTTGGGGGCTAGAGAGATGTCTCAGCAGTTAAGACTTGCTACTCTTTCAGAAGACCTGAATTTGGTTCCCAGCATCTACCCAACTGCCAGTAGTGGATCATGCGCCCTCTTCTGGCCTCTATGGGCACTGCACTCACATGTGTATACCCTCACCCAGACATACACATTAATAAGTATACATTTTAAAAACGAATGCCTCAGAAGAGCGGAGGAGATGGGTGGGTGTGACACTGCAGTGGGGACTTGGTGCGACAGCTGCTGACTTGATCCCCACCAGGGTTTAACGTGAACCACTTGGACATCGCCCCTCGCTATGCCAGCATCTTGATGGGCATCTCCAACGGCGTGGGCACACTGTCTGGGATGGTGTGCCCCATCATCGTGGGCGCAATGACCAAGCACAAGGTTAGCACAGCCCTCCCAGTGCATGCCTGGAACCTCTGACACCCAGCCCCCCTCCTCCTCTCCCTTTCTCTTATTAATTTGTCTGTCTGTCTTTCTTTCTTTCTTTCTTTCTTTCTTTCTTTCTTTCTTTCTTTCTTTCTTTCTTTCTTTCTTTCTTTCTTTCTTTC